CCTTTGCTCACATTTCTACTGATTTCCCTTTATTGGTAAGAGCTTTTTTCTCTTTTTTCTTTTTTTACAATAAAGTGACCCATTTTCTAAATCATGTTAAAAATGTGACATTTCCCAATTTGTGACTCATTTTTCAATTTTGCTTAATATGTTTTTCCTTTTTTTATTTATTTAGAAATTTAAGCCCTAACTGGTTTGGCTCAGTGGATAGAGTGTTGGCCTGCGGACTCAAGGGTCCCAGGTTCGATTCCGGTCAAGGGCATGTACCTTGGTTGCCGGCACATCCCCAGTAGGGAGTGTGCAGGAGGCAGCTGATCGATGTTTCTCTCTCATAAATGTTTCTGACTCTCTATCCCTCTCCCTTCCTCTCTGTAAAAAATCAATAAAATATATATTTTTTAAAAAAAGAAATGTAAATGTACCATGGTCAAATTGATTAGTCTTTCCTTAGATGGCTTTTTGCTTTATTGTCATTTTTAGAAAGTTTTTCAATCTATTTGAAAAATATTCACCTTTTATTTTCTTTCTGTATTCAATATTTTTTAAAAGGGAAAAATACAATATATTATAGCTGGAATTTATTTGGGAATAAATTGCGAGATGGGGCTGTTACTGTTTCTCCCCTCAACTGGCTACCCAGTTGTCCTCCTTTGAATAATTCATCCTTTCTTCACTGATATGAATGTAAATTGTAAGATGCCATTGCTTTTATTGGTGTATTAAAAGCATACACACACACATACACACACACCCCTTTTCCTCCTTCTCCTTTTAATAAATAAATAAAATTTTGATTCTGAGCTAGTCCCATCTTTGAGCCAATATTCCTAAGGAACAGGGAAATATTATTTTATTGCTATGTGCTGTAACTAATACTGATTACATAGTCACTTGGTACTCGCCCTCAAGTAATACTGGATACATATTTTAAGGGAAAGACTACATACATTTGCCCAAGCCCCATCACAACTCAAGCATGTCAGTCCACTTCAGACGAATTTGATTATCGCTTTAAATAAAGGTTCCCTTCTAGAAGATTGAGAAGAGTGCGTCAGGGTTCTCTTCTGGACGCCCTCGGAATGCTGGGCCCCAGTGGGGAGAAGGGGCACAGGAAGAACCCACGGTAGGCTCAGTCAGATCTAGGGACAGGGACTCCGCCCGAAGAGCCCTTGGAGCTGATGAAAACAGGTAGTAGGGTCATTTTAATTTTCCAACTAAGGTCTTGATTTGTAAAGGTATAAATATCCTGATTTAGATGCAGCATAAAATACCCACAGAAGACGATCTGTAGGTCTTTTGTGGCCTTGGAAAAGCAAAATGCTTAATTCCTTAAGTCCCTGAGTGTAGTTTATGTTCATAGCGAGGAGCCGGAGAGGACAGAAGAGGGGGGTTGTCTCCCTGCACCTTCCTTTTTAATGCTTACTTACGCCGTCCACACCACCTCTGCGCTCACCGGGCCGAACTTCTCTCGATTTTCCCTAAAACGCCAAGTGCGGGAGGCAAAGTTAGATGTGTTATTACAAATATCTCGCACCTGAGCAACTCCCCTGTGGCAGGTGAGGCACCAGCCTGGTGAGAAAAGACCGAGATCCGAGGCCTTTGTGTGTAGCGGGACGTTCAGGCTGAGATCTCCGCGAGTCAGTTCCCGCGAGACCTTAGTTATTATTTCCCTATGAGACGTCTTCACTCGACCTTCTCTGACCCAGGTCGCATCGCCCATCCCTGTTTCCTCACGGCATTTCCTTGGTACAGTGTTCCATTAACTCCGGTCACCTCACCACTTCCTCCTCCCTAATGGCGACAGTTTAAAGGCTGGCTCCGTACACCCGAATCGTCTCCCTAGCAACCGCGTCTCCGAAGACCGCCGGAAAAGGCTATGATCACGTGCGCTGTGAACTTCCGGGTTGTCAACGTGACTTCCGGTTGTCAGTTTCTCCGGACGCGGTGGCGGCAGCGGCGGCGGCGGAGGAGGAAGAGGAGGAGGAGGAGGGAGAACTGTGCGGCTCGAAGTCGCCGCGGCCCCAGTAGTGGTGGGCTCCAGGGGGCTCGCCTCGTCCTGCCCCGCCTGCGATGCATCCGCGGCGCCCGGACGGGTTCGATGGCTTGGGCTATCGCGGGAGTGCACGGGATGAGCGCGGTTTTGGCGTGGCCTTCCCTGCAAGGTCCTTCAGCTCCGGGCCGGAGCTGAGCCACTGGGTGACCACTCCCCCAGACATCCCCGGGAGCCGCAACCTGCACTGGGGCGAGAAGAGCCCGCCCTA